CCAGCATTTTTTACTCACAGGCATCTCCGTCCCACAGGCTCCAAGGGAAAAGCCCCCTGCGGCTGCCCCGGACACGACCCCGTCCCTACGACCGCATTACTGTGGAGTCAGCATTTGACAATCCAACTTATGAGATTGGAGTAAGTACTCATGCCATTCTTTGCGCCCTATCCAGGCCCTAATTCTATGCTCTCTTGGGTGGGTACCCCTGAGGATCCCTCCAAAGCCCTCTCACTCTTCCCCTTTTCCTTGGGAAGTGGATTATGGGCTGGCAAACCTTATACAAGTTTCCAACTCCCAGCAGTCTCTTTACTTTGCAGGAGACGAAAGAATATGAAGTCTCCATCTAGGTGGGGGCAGCTCGGAGAGGCCAGCTCAGTCCAGCATCACAGCCCAGCAGCAGAGTTTCCAGCTTCCTGCTGTCCCTACACTTCGTGTACATACCATCTGGGAAGAGATTTCACCAGTCCCTCAAGAAGCTGTGCCCTTCCCCACCTGCAATGCCCACCAGGGCCTATTTTCTTGGTACCGCTGCCCACACAGGGCCCTTGCTTGGGTTCAAGTCAGGCGGCATCTTCCTCTGGGCAGAGCAGAGCTGGAGTACACACATCAAGAACCAGCATTCTCCTGACCCTTCTTCATGGCCTGGACCTCTAGCCTGGAATTCACAAGCAGAGGAAGAGCACCTCTCTCCAGGTTGACCACCATCCAGCCTGGCATGTGGCACCCTGCAGCAGGGTGAACTTGATGGTGGTGGAAACTGCTCCAGGGTGCTCCTCATGGGGCCATCACCAGTGGCCAAAGCTGCTGTCAACAGTGACCTCTGGGGAGTCCTGGCACGCTGACATCAGCCCCTCGGGGAGGTCTCTAGTCCTTCTCTAAGGCCCTAGGAATGGACAGTTCTGCTTCCTGGAGGCAATAATTCTAAGGGACCCTAAGGGGTTTAGGGACCCCACCCCAAGCTCAGGTTGGGCTTCCCTAGGCACTCATGCTCCACACCAAAGCAGGACACCCCACTGCTGCCCAGGCAGCCCTACATGCCAGTGAGAGGGAGACCTTCCCCTGATGTCGATCTGGCTTTACAAACATTTTCTTTCCCATTAGTCCCTCCCCCAACCCCAGCCACTCACCAGTCTCCCTTCCTGGCCACTGGGTTTTAGGATAAGGGGAGTGGGCAGGCATATTCTGGAGAGGAGCTGAGGTCCAAGGGCCCAAGAATTTGGCATGGAACAGGGGGTTAGAGACCCAGAGAGAGACCCAGGAGTTGGCTACAGGCCACTTTGTACATGTAATGTATTATATGGGGGGTCTGGGCTCCAGCCAGAGAACAATCTTCTATTTCTGTTGTTTCCTTATTAAAACAGTGTTTTGGAAAAAAAAAAAAAAGTAATGGCCAAGTAGATGGTGCTTTCTTGGAGGGAAGGGAGGTGGGAAATAAGTGCGATGTGGACTTCAGAAGGCATGCTGGACCCACAAACTGATCACTCCCACATTTCATCCAAAACAAGTTACATGCAGATACTTCAGGGACCACTGTCCCAACAAGGTCAGTGCAACAGACGGCAGGTGAAGTAAGAGACCCCAGTGGCTGGCCCACAGGGGTGTGGAAGCCCAGGAACCCAACTGCTCATCTACCCCAATGCTTCCTTTCTTTCTCTTTGCTAGGTCCAGTACTACAGGCCAACACACTCCCAAACCCCTCCTCAATACCACTGTATTGTTGACAAGGCCCAGGAAGCCTAACGCCTCTCTCCTTCCCCTTTGTCCCCAGCTAGCAAGGGTTAGGAAATTGGAATAAAAATCAGAGTCTGAACCCCTAAACGTGAGGCTCTAGTCCGTCCTGGCCTCTGGGAATATCCAGACTATCAGGAGGAAAGGCAATGCAGCTTAGGGTAGGGACCGGGCTCCTATTTTAGCAAAAGTCCTCTCCATGGGCTCCAGAAAGAAGTTGGCTGGAAAGGACCTGCTTAAGCTTGCCATGTTTGGTCACTTGCAGCCCTAATGCCCCTTCCCTATGTCTCCCAGGCACCTCCTGAGTTGAAAGTGTTAGCTCAGTTTTGGTCCCCAGCATGCACCTCTGTGCTTAGAGGTGCACTATGCATGGCTGCTCTCCAGAGTAAGAGCAAGAGACAGGCATTGGGAGTTATGGACACTCAGAGGCCAGAAAACAAAATCCCTGAAGGAAATAATGACAGCCACCAGCACGTTCTACTTCCACAGTCTTCCAGCAGAGAGATCCCAGTCACTCATGGCTGGCCGCCTTCTGGCTCTACCATAGGCCACCTTGCAGGCCTCAGAAACTCATCCATGCAGAGTGCAGTCCCTACACTAGCCACAAGAGGTCACTTCACAAGACATCTGTATCCCACCTCGCCTCAAACCCCCTTGAATAACCAGGACTGGAGCTCTCCAAGGTGGCACCAACTTCCAACCACTGGGCTGACCTCCCCCTCCAAGTTCTAAGAGAAAGGTGCGTAGAGTGATTAATTCCCCTGGCACTTGTCAACACAGCCAAGTATTATTTCCCTGGTTAGCCCAACAGCGCTGTTCCTGTTCTCCACTGCAAATGATGATGTTGATCAAAGCAAAGCCTTCCTCATTGGGCATAGGCCAATGGACTATTTATCTGCCCCATAATGCTTTCGGGCTGACACAGCAGCACAGCTGGGTCCTGAGCAGTAAGAAGCCAGGGAGAGAGGACACATGTGCTCCCAACTTCTGAGGACCCATGGCATGAAACAAAACCTCAGACTAGAAGAGGTCTGGCCACTTTCATATAACTAGCTCAGCCCTACTCTCTCTGAAGTCCACCTCTCTGATCTATAACCACAAGGATTTCTTGTGTGCTGAGGCTGGTAGAGGGCAGAGAGCAGCCAATCTCTCTCTCTCTCTCTCTCTCTCTCACGCACACACATGACAGATAGGTCCATGACCTTATCATTCTTCCTAAGCACCAAGAGGATCATCAGAAAAGTCAGAAAAACAGAAACCTAAGACCACACGCTGACATCCCCATCGTATCCCTAACTCATCCTCCTTACTATCCCAAAAGAAGCAGCAGCAACAACTCCTCACAGACAGTTAACCTGGTGTAGTGGAAAGTGTCCTGGCCTGGTAATCAAATCTGTTTCATTCATAGGTCTGCCATAAATTCACTATGAGAACTAGGCAAATCACCGCTCCTCTCTATGCATCTAGAAATGAGATTAACAAAGATAGTATTTAACCCCTTTCTGGTTTTATTCTTCTGCAAATATTAAGTACACCCTAACGATCACAGGTGAGCAGGACACAACTACCTGGCAACAATGCCAACTAAACGCCTAGTGGCAAGCACAGTGATGTTATCCCCTTCTCCACTTCTTTGCCTACAGTCAGGCAAGATAACTGGCCATCTGTGAAAGCAATAAAAAGGGCAGGGGTGCATGCCGTGGAGGAAGCCAGAATTCGAGGTGAGGCCTTCAGACTACAAATCCCAGCATACAGCACACCAGCTCTCAAAAGCATCCCTTCCTGGCAGGCAAATCTCTCCTCCCCGAGTCCATCCCACCATACAGTGCATACACAGCATGCACACGGAACTACGGCTCCCACAACCCACCACATCCCTCGCGATTCTTGCTCCCAGGGTGCAATGCGCTCCCGTTCGGCCTTTGGACGTCTTGCGCATTGCAAACTGGGAGTTGAAGTCCGCTATAGGCAGGTAGTTGGGCGTTGTCAGCGTTACTAACTCTTCGCTGTGGGCTTCCTCTGGAGCAGTTCTCAGGGACAGTGATCAAGAGAGGGTAGTAGTAATGGGCCTGCTAAACTCTCCATGGTGTCATTACGCAAGGCAGGGACGCTGAGGCTAAAATTAACTGTCTGGAGCGGGAGGGTAGTGTGTACAGCAGCCATCCAACCCGACACCAAAAGAATAGTTTTCCGTCGCGGTGGCTTTTCTTTTCTCTTTACCAATATGGCGCCTAGTTCTGCCACACCTGATGCTGGGAACCAAACGATCCAGTACAATATCCCTAGGAATACTGCTGTCACCGACAGCCTACCGGCTCCAGCCAACACCACACCTTGTTCCTTCTTGTTCTTGCCTGAGGACTCCAAGGACATGGTAGCCTATATCCCATTACCAAAATGGCGAAAGTAGAAGCATTCTTGTTAGGGCCTGCAGATGACAATACGCTTGCGCGGAAGGCTGCTGTGTTGTGGGGCGGGAGGGGAGCATTCTCAACACGCCTGCGCAGGAACAGAGTAGTCTTGGTCTGTACACAAACACCAATGGATGAAGAGCCCCCATGTTCCTGCGGCTGCGCTATGACCCTTAGAAACTCTCCGAGGCGCCTGCGCGAGACCTCAGGTCCCGCCCTCTTATCTTAGTACGCTGGCGCAAGGCAGAAAGGCGGGGCTTCGGCCCTCCAGACGAATGCCAGCGCGGCTGCGCGCTGGGGGGTACCCGCTCACTGCGGCTGCGCGGGAGCCCGGCCGCCGGCTGTCACTGCGGTTGCGCGCGGCGAGCGGCGATCCCGGGGCGCCTGCGCGGGTGGCTTTGCGGGCGCTCGCGGTAAGTTTGCGCCAAGTGCGCGGCAGCCGGGACGCAGACGGCGGCGGCGGCGAGAGGCGGAGCCCGGGGACCACCCCCCATCACCCTCCCCGCAGTCACCTCACGTACCACAACCTCACCTAACCTCTCACCCCCCCTCCGATCCCCCCAACCCCGGGATGGCAGCGCCCGCCAGCCTTCCCGGCCGGACCAGCGGTCGCCAGCGCCGGCTTTAGCCTGTGGGACTAGGCCCCGCCAAGGCCTGACCCCGGGAGCCGGGACCCACCGTGCAGCCAGCCGCCGGGCCGAGGCTGAGGGGCCGCTCCCCCCTCACGGCCCGTGGGGAGGACGCTGCCGTCCCGGGGATTGGGGGCCGGGGGGTGGGGGGGAGCCAGGGCGAGGAAGTCGGGACCCGTGTTGGGAAAAAAGAAGGGGGGCCGGGGTCAGGAGCGCCCCCTCCCCCCGCTTCCCCCCTCCCCCCGGGGTTGGGGGGGCCGGAGCAGAGAGCGCCCAGCCCGGGAGGTGGATGAATGTGGGAGAAAATGGAGACCAAGACGATCGTGTACGACTTGGACACGTCGGGGGGGCTGATGGAGGTAAGAGTGGCCCTCCTCATCCCCTTCCCCCAGCGCCGGGAGGGAACCTCCGCCCTCCGCCCCACAAAGCCGGTCCTGAGCTCACAGCGCAAAAGGGCCAGAGGAAGGGGGGCTTCTTCCTCACCCAGACTCTCCCTCCCTTCTTTGCAATTCGAGGGGCTGAGCTCAGCCTCCGAGGACGTTTGCAGCAGTTTCACCTACCCGCCGCCCTGGATTCGCTCTCCCGAGGCACCAACCCACTCCATGTCGTTGCACCGGCGGTCCTCCCCACCCCCTTCTTGTCGGCCCCTTTGTGCTTCCCCCAGCACGTCCGGGTACCGGGTTTCAGGCCTCTTCAGAGCCTGGCTTTGGAGTCCCCCACTGTCCATACAAGGAAGTGGCGAGAAGGGAACCGCGCACCCTCTCCCCATCCCCCTACCCTGATCCTCCCCATTTGGAAGAAGCTGTTCTCGTTGTGCTGCAGGAAAGCTGTTAGGGTGGGCTCCCCCCGGTTCCGGGGGCTGAGAGGTTCTGGGAGCAGCTTGGATGGGAGGAAGAAGGACAAAAGGGGGGAGAGGGGTGGGTGACGGAGAAGCCTTGCCGGGGGGGCGACGGACCGCCCGGGAGCTCCGAGTGTGCACACACGCCGTTTGTATGTGTGTGCAGCAAATCCAAGCTCTGCTGGCTCCCCCCAAGACGGACGAGGCAGAAAAGCGGAGTCGGAAACCTGAAAAAGAGCCCCGGAGAAGCGGCAGGGCCACCAACCACGACAGCTGCGATAGCTGCAAAGAAGGTGGGGATCTCCTGTGCTGTGACCACTGCCCGGCAGCCTTCCACCTCCAGTGCTGGTAAGGTCTGGGGACCCCTTTGGAGCTCCTTGGCGGACCCTTCTCGGTACATTCCTTCACCCGGCCTACCCCTGGCTGCCGAAATAACGGGCGCTTGCCGCCGCTAGCTGACTTTCTGCAGCGGGTGGGGCGAGCGCCTCCCCGCCCCCAGGTGTCTGCCGGGATCTGGCCGTTTGGGAGTGGGGGGAGGAGCAGCAGTGGGTCCGGACCCCGAGGTGGGGGTTGGGACGAGTGAGGAGAGCCCCATCTGGGATTGGAAGGCTCTGGGTAGCCGGGACAGAGCCGGCAGGGCACGGCCGGCGGTGGCGGGGGAGGAAGGGGAGGAGCTCCGGGCCCTGTGCCGCTCGCCTGCCCGCGCGCCCGCCGCCCTCGGGCTCCTGCCGGGCTGGGCTCTCTTGCGGGCGGGTGCGCGGAGCCCTCGGCCGCCGGAGTTGGCCGGGTCCAGACCCGGGGGGGCCGGACACCCGGGCGCTTGCGGCTGTGGAAGAAATCATGGAGGGTCTCTCTCGAGTCCGCCTCTTCTCCGCTTCTCTGTTTACAATATGGCGACCTGCCTTTAAATTATATTTTTATTCTCAGCGCCATTTTGGCTGCATATATGATTTGCAAACGTCTCCCGGGGAACGGTGGGGGTAGAGGCCTGGATTCCTTTCTGCAGAAGCTCCTCGGGGACCCGGGCTAGGATCTCGCCGCTTTGGTCCCCTTTCTCGGGCTCCGCTTGCCCCCTGTTGCCTCTCGGAGCTGCCTCCCTCTCTCCCTCCCCTCCCCGCGCTGCCGCCTCTTAGGAAATCGGGCCGGGTTAGACAATTAAAATTGCCCTTGGGCGCCGATTTCACTTCTCCGCTCCGGATCAGCGAGCCCTTCGCGGCAAAATTCTTTGGTGCCGGGGTGGGATTGTGTGCGGTTAGCTCCGCGAGGGCATTTTTAAGGAGCAGAGAGCTGGAAAGCTGTGCGCTTCCCTCCGCCCCCTCCCCCCCCCAACTGAACGCGAGAGGAAGAGAGAGACGGGAGAGAGAGAGAGCGAGAGAGGGAGGGACCTGGGTTGATCGCCCGCTGCGTGATCCTCCTCAGCAGCTCAGCCCAGAACAATCCGGCCAGGAAGAGTTTAAACTCCAGCTTCTGCCAGGAGAAACCATCTCCACAGAAATCCCACATCTGCTTAGGGAACCCAGATTGCGTCGTGTTGGGATGGGTCTTGTTCTGTTGTTCAGCAACAGTTGACTGATGCAGGCGTTTGTGAGAGCGGGAAAGAGAGGGGCTTCTGTTTGTTTCCACCCGTTTTTGATGTTGCCTTTTTTTTTTTTTTTTAAGTCTTTGTTTTAAAAAAAAAAAAGTGAGGTTTTCCTTAAGCTCTCTACACTGTTGCATTCACATTCCGTCTCTCGGTTTGTGGACTAGTGCCTACTGTGTATTTGTACTAATTGGAGGTTTTGGAACACTTATTAGACAGATGACTGATACTGGGCAAATTAAGTCTGTGGTCAGAAGTTATGTAGGAAGCTCCCATTACTATTCCCCAGATACTTTTGCCCAGGAGGGCACCCCATCTGGGCTTGTAATGTTGCAGGGACAAAAATGGTTATCCTGGAGGAAGCTCTGTTGCTGGTTTTAAATTTTTATTACCAGGTGACTAATACCAGCAGGAAGGGTCTGTGGTTTTTAGCCTTTGCTTCCTGTAAGGTGTAATCCACCTGGAGAAAATACCTCTGGTCAAGTTTTCCCGTGTTCTTGAGCAAAGAAAAGATTTGTATCTGGATATGTATTTTTTTTATCAGTTTTTTCCCTGTTGCTTACATTTTTTATTGTGCTTGTTTGATGCATATGCTCGTACTGAATTGTAGGCTTCTTGATGTAAAGTGTGGGTGTTTCACCTCTAGGATCAAGCTAGGGTTAGCTAAAGGAGAAGGGTGATCTCCATATTGAGAATTTTATAAGCTCTTTATCTTTAGCCTCCTGTGTTTAGTAAAGCTGAGATTGTTTATTAGAAACTTCAGGTATGGAAAAAGTGTGCTGTTTTGCTTGAGTTTGGGCTTCAAATTCTAAAACCTAACCTCTGGATCTTCTAATTAGATGAGTGTGAGTCTTGTCAAGTTGTAACAATTAACAGTTTCTGCTTCTGCTAGGAAAGAGGGAGGTACTTGTAGCTGTTGGTGAGACTCAGACTTGCCCAGACTGTGCATTTCATTGAATACTTTTTTTTTTTTAAGACCCTGAATGGGAACCGGTAATCAGAGATTCGAGAATCCTAGTAAGTGAGGCAGGGTTTATTTTACATCTCCAGTTCCCTCTTTGAAGATGCCAGTACTGAAGGTACCATTGATTTAGCAGAGTTGTTATATAAATTACAAAACATTCTGGATATTGGTACAAAGGCAGGAAGTCTTCTTTCAAGTGAGGCTTATCCCACTTTCCTGAGTCCTGTTCCACGCTCTTTCCAGCCCAAGTGAACTACTTCATTAATCATCTCCACGAGAGTAGTCGGGTCCTGCCTTTGACAGTCTCAGACCATTTTGATTCCTGAGTGTGCCGGCTTTAATTCATGCCATTGCTGATTACTTGTGCCCTGTAGGAGTGCAGTTAGGTGTGGCTATATTTTCTCTTGCTTTCCTTTTCAGCTGGCTATGACTGGCTTACAGTTGACCCTTGAACAATGCTGGGGGCTTAGGGACACTGACCCCCATGCAGCCAAAAATTACATAAGTTTTGATTTTTCAAACACTTAACTACTTACAGTGGGCTGTTGACCAGAAGCCTTACCGGTACCACCAGCAGTCAGTTAACACATATTCTGCATGTTGTATGTATTGTACACTGTATTCTTACAACACAGTAAGCTAAAGAAAAGAAAATGTTATGGAAATCATAAAGAGAAAACGTATGGTACCGTACTCTAAAAAGTCTCCATAGAAGAGGACCTGCAAAATAAATAAATAAAATCTTTAAAAAAAAAAAAAAAAGAAGAAGAAGAGGACCTGCAGTTCAAATGCATGTTTTCCAAGGGTCAGCTGTATTTAGATAAGCACAGAAATAATCATTTTCCTTACGTACAGAATGTACAAGAGTGAAGATGGAGGTTTTGCAAACCCTGTTGATCATAATTGTAGTGCTATTGCGGGTCTTCGTTCAAAATTCTCTGAGACCATCCTTTTTCTGTCTCTAGTGCGTTTTGCCAGCTTGCCTCACAGTGAACAAGATCTAATAAAATGTTCCAGAAGTGATTTAGGCAAACTTTACCTCCTGGGCTTAGTGACATAGTCATAACCACAGGGGATTTTTCTAAGATAAACTACTGTAGGAAATGACTGGTAAGATAAACTTAATTGTCTTGTCTTTTCTCGGGGGCCAGTGCTCTGTATGAGGAACCGTTCTCTCTTCCCAGTTAGACTGGGAGCCCTATTTCTGGGTTCCCTGTCATGATCCTTTGGTGAGGGAATGAATTGTCCTGTGCTCTGTATCATGACCTCGCTGAAGAATTAAACTTAAGGAGGTGATCGTTTAGTTTTTGTTTAAGTAACAGTGTGATCATTTTATCTGAGTTTAACTGGTTTATCACTTATTCAGAGTGGTAGTGAGGGTTACTAAACCTGCCCCACGAACTGGAAAGAGGTATCTTTTTAAGTGTTTTCTGGTGAACCCGACCCCTATCGTAATTGTCATGCCATTAGTTGAACTTTCTGAAAATACTGGTCTCCATGGAATGGTCCCTAAGAATTGGTGTTTTTTTTTTTTTTTAAAGATTTTATTTATTTATTTGACAGACAGAGATCACAAGTAGGCAGAAAGGCAGACAGAGGGAGAGGGAGAGGAAGCAGGCTCCCTGCTGAGCAGACAGCCTGATGCGGGGCTCGATCCCAGGACCCTGGGATCATGACCTGAGCTGAAAGCAGAGGCTTTAACTCCTGAGCCACCCAGGCGCCCCCCTAAGAATTGGTTTAAAAAAAAAAAAAAAAGAATAACTGGTGGAGCTCTATTTGCCGCTAACCATCTTTCTGTTTGAAATGGATTGAATTGTTCTCACTGATAAAGTGAGCACCATAGGCCATCAGTAATGAGGCCGGAAAAACTGGATGTTTTTCTCTGATTGTTTTCTCGTGGCATTTTGCTCCAAACGGACTGAGGGATCAAAATGGTCTGAGAAACGCATCTACCTCAGCAGACCTCAGCATGGTTGCTTCCCGTCAGACAGATTTCTGTAGCATTTGCCTCCGCATGTTATATTTGGAATTGTTGGCCGGCTTTCCTCTCTTCGGTGTTGGCAGTGAGATCCAAAATGAGGTTTTCGAAGAATGAGAGTAAAAAGGTCTCTGTGCACAGGCAAAACTAAGCTCAGCTTGGAGTTTTGCATATTTAATTTTCAGTGAGTCATAACAAGAAAGGTTTCACACATAGAGTAGAAAACTGCGTTGCAGAACATCTTTGCTATTTGAACTTTTCAGAAGGTGATTTTTTTTTTTCTGATTTTGTTGCATTTAGCTCCTCATTAGAAAAGTACCAGGCTAGTGCTGAATTAAAATACATTTAATTTAATGTTATCTTACAAATCTGTTATTTCTGACATTTGAGGTGCTTGGAAACCTGGTACTGAAGAACTGGAGGGGTCGGCATCTGGACTTCCTCCTGTCACCCTGCCTCCTCTGTAGTAAAATGATTCAACAATAAACAAACCTAATTTGGTTTTATGTGTATTTTATCTATTTATTTTTGAATTTGCTACATTGCGTTGGAATCTGGGTGTGTATTACTGTTTTTAAATGTTCCACTCCGGCAGGGAGGGTCCAGTAACATTCAGCTTTAGCTCAGTTTTATATGCATGCTTTGTAAACTTAACATGGGGCTTGGGCTCATTCTCGTGATCAGAGTGCTTTGTTTCAGTGATGAAAGTATAATCACTGTTTAAAAACGATAATATTTAGTATGAAATGTTTACTCAGAATTGGGTGTGATCTGGGGGTGCCTGGGTGGCTCAGTGGGTTAAGCCTCAGTCTTTGGCTCAGGTCATG